TTTGCGAGAGAACCCAGATCTGGGTTTGCAGAGGCAAGGGAAAAGGAAAGGTAAAAGAGAAAGAAAATGAAAGAGGAAGAAGACATCTCACGTGGGTAAAAAAAAAAGAAATTATTATTTTTAAATTAAATGAAACTGCCAACTCATAAAAAAGATGGCCAACTATACTTTTTTTTTTTCCATGTTTAATGTTAAGCAAACAAAAGAATTGATTTGCTGGCAAATTAACGTGCCACTTGTCATTTAATTGATGGAAGGACCGTTTTGGTACTGAAAATGAAAATTTAAGGATAAATTTGATATTTTTTAAAGCTAAGGGACAATTTTGGTGCCAAAGTAAAAAGTTGAGGGACCAAAATGGTACTTAAATAAAAAAAAGGTTAAATGCTAAATTGGGTCTCTCAACTTTACGAAATGCACATTTTTGGTCCCTCAACAAAATTTTGCACTTTTTTGATCCCTCAACTATACGAAATGCACTCCGTTAGTCCTTTTGTTAATTTGGGCCGTTAACTCGCTCATGTGGCATTTTTTATAGTTCTTTTGATGATGTGGCAAAAACAAATTGAAAACGTGTTGATGTGGAATTTTTTTTTAGGACAACTCATGCCAACTCACATGATTACTATTTATATTTTTAAAAAATAAAATAAAAAAATTCGATCCATCTTCTTCCTTTCTTTTTTTCTTTTTCTTTCTTCCTTTTCTTTCTTCCTCTTCTTCCTCAGGTCATCGAACCCAGTTTGCTGGGTTCCGTCGAACCCAGTTTGCTGGGTTCCGTCGAACCCAACTCCACTTTTTTTTTTTTATATGATTGTTTGCCAAAAGATTATCCAAATTGCAAGTTGTTGTGAGGGATTTTTGGGCAACTGGTTTTTTTTTTTGTTATATGATTGTTTGTCAACATATTATCCAAATTGCAAGTTGTTGTGAGGGATTTTTGGGCAACTGGGTTCCAATGAACCGAGCTAGGTTTGATGGAATCTATTTGCTGAGTAACATCGAACCCAGATCTGCTAGGTTTGGTGGAACCTAGGTTGGGTTCCGTCGAACCCAGCTCTACTTTTTTTTTTTTTTGTTATATGTTTGTTTGCCAAGAGATTATCCAAATTGCAGGTTGTTATGAGTGATTTTTGGGATTCTTTTCTTTATATTTTTTAAGTATTGTCTAAATGATTTCAATCTTGAAAATGAAAAGAACATCGTTGATGGAAAGAACAGAAGCAATAACCGATGGGCAAAGAAGCAATTGTTAGTGGTGATGTGGGACCCATTTGGACAAATTTGACGCGTTTTGGCCACGGTAGCATGACATGGCAAAAGTTTTGTGCATATCATCACTTTTTTAAATTTTACTCTCCACATCATCAAAAAAAATATAAAAAATGCCACATAGGCAGAGTTAACAGCCTAAATTAACAAAAGAACTAACTGAGTGCATTTCGTATAGTTGAGGGATAAAAAAAGTGCAAAAATTTGTTGAGGGAAAATGTGCATTTTGTAAAGTTGAGGAACCAAATTTAGCATTTAACCAAAAAAAGAGAGAGGGAGATAATATTTGAATGAAAATATAAGAACAAAAAAGAGAATATTAGAACAAGTAAAACAAGTAAATTTACCACTCAAGACCTTTCTATTAAAAAAAAAAAGAGAGAGAAAAGGAAAAAAAAAATGAAACACAAACAAAGAAGTCAATGCGGTTTCCAAAATATCAGAATGGATCAATGGACGGCTTAATATAATAAATCATCTATTAACTATTACTTTTTTTTCATTTTAGTCTAGATACTTTATTTTCTTTCAAAGTCATCTATTAACTTTCAAAACTATTTCATTTTCATCTACCCCATGTAACTCCGTTAACAGAGTTAATGAAATTCTACATATGGGATCGCGTGCTGCCATGTAAGCAGCCACATGGCAGGAGCAAATTTCCAGCAACAGTATTGTTTCTCTTTCTTTTTTTTTTTTTGGCCACATGGAAGGGGCAAATTTCCAGCGGCATTTTTTCTCTTTCTTTTTTTTTTTTTTGTTTATCACATCTCAGGAGCAAATTTGCCACATCATTGTTTCTCTTTATTTTATTTTTGTCACTGTTTTTCTTTAAT